TTCTTCTTCTTCTTCTTCTTCTTCTTCTTCTTCTTCTTCTTCTTCTTCTTCTTCTTCTTCTTCTTCTTCTTCTTCTTCTTCTTCTTCTTTTCTCTCTCTCTCTCTCTCCCTCTCTCTCTCTCTCCCTCTCTCTCTCTCTCTCTCTGTGAATAACATCAAAAGCTCGAATGTCTCCTGCTGCATGACATCTTAACCTGGAAATATCATTGAGGAAGAGTCTAGACTCAACAGGAAGGATGCGTAGCAAGGAAGAGCTGCCCTAAGTCTCATCCTTCTTTTCCTCAAACAATCTCTCTCTACATTCCAGTTTTTTTTTAATTCCTTCTTTTTGGAAGTTTCCTCCAGCGTTTGTCCCTAGCCTGACAAAATACTTGGTTTTGAAGTTCAGCGTCGATCGAAAATCCAAACGTTGCACAAGAAAGAGATTTCTTAAGCACAAAACCATTCATTAGCACGAAAAGGACGTGATCTTAAAAAAGAGAAGCTACCCAGTTTCTGTGCCATTTATGTCTCTCCTGCTTAAACTGTGAATCTTAATGAAAGAAAAAATTAATCTTAATTAGAGAAAATGTTACAAGCCGCCTGGAATCACCTTTGAACGAGTTGGAAGGGTGTTTTAAATGTGTTGAATAAATAAATAAACTTTTACATTTCTATTTTTACGTCGTGGGTTTGGGCAGCTGAGAGAATTAGTCCCTCTGCTTTTTGGGGCAACAAATTGGAATTGCTGTCTTTGCAAACTTTGCCTGGGTTCAAATTGTGGGTGCTGCAAAAAAAAAAGGGGGGGTTGTGTTGAATTCGGAGAGAAACCAAATTCCCAAATTGTGTCCCATTTGCTCAGTCCTTTGGAAGAGGCAAGGATATTTTCTTGGGTCATCGATTGTGAACGCGGCCCAGCAAATTCCTCGAATTTTGTAGTAGCTGCAGTAGCTGAATGAAGCAATGAACGGTTAAGTCAAAAAGGTTTTAAAAATCCCTTTTCTTCCTCCTCTCTATGGGTTAAGAGCACCAAGTTAGAAATCTAGAGGCTCTGAGTTCTAATCCTGCCTTGGACGCAAAGCCAACTGGGTGACCTTGGTGCCAGCCACACACACACAGCCCTAGGAAGCAGGCAATGGCAAATTGCAAATTGCCATTTCTGAAATCTTGCCAAGGTTTTATTTTTCCAATTTTTGTCGTGAGAAATCAAGACTTAACCTGCATCAACCCTGCCTTAAAAAAAAAAAAAAGTAAAATATGTCGTCTTTCCCTTCTGGATGAAAATGACAGGAGAAAAATAAAAATAAATGGAATTTGTCTGCCTGGTTTTAAGGTGCAATTCGCCACAATTTATTGTTTCTACTTTTCAAAAGGGTTTTGTAGAAATTCATTACTGTTGCATCAGGACTTCAAAACAAAAATGGACTAAGGATACATTTGTTTCTTTATTTACATGTTAAACTTGTTTATTATATAATTTTTAGGATTCACTCTTGTGACAGTTAAGGCAGGACTTCCCAAAAACAAAACAACAACAACAACAAAAAACCAGCACTGGGATGCATTAGTTTCTTACATTTTTTAATATTTTTAAACGGGTGATTTGTTACAGAGATTTAGCTTTTAATTACAAATTAAATAAAATATAAATCCCTGGCGGAGGATGATGGGTGCCAGAGCCCAACACAACAAATGAGAATCGGGTTGGGAAAAGGCTTTGGGCTGCGGAGAATGGGATTCTTTGCTCAGCGCTGTGGATGATGGGGGTTGTAGTCCAGCGCCCTTGAGGTAAAGAGAGGAGAGGGTCGGCCCCGGCTTGGGGATGATGGAAAATGGAGGAGGATGGCAGTGGAGGGTGGGAGTCCTTGTGCCCATCCCTGTGCACAATGGGGGCTGTAGTCCAATGCCCACGAGGGGTTAGGGGTCGGCTGGCTGGGGATGATGGGCGATGGGAAACAGAGGCAGGTGAATGGTGGCAAAGCTGCACACGACGACGCTCGGCGAGGACGGCAGTGGAGGATGGGAACCTTTGTCCAGCTCTGTGTCCTTGAGGTAAAAGAGAAGCGCGGGGGGGGGGGGGCTTTTCTGCCGGCTGGGGGTGATGGAACCCGCCTTGCAGCGGCGGCGGCCTCTCCGGCGGCAGGGGAGGATGGGCTAGCGGGCTTAGGCGCCCACCCACTCAGCCACTGGCCTTGCTTGGCTCTCGCTCGCCGGGCTGCTCCTCCTCCTGCTGCTGCCGGGCGCCGCCCTCGCCCTCCCGCCGGCCCTCCGCAGCCATGGCCGCCGCCACCGCCGCCGCCGCTCCGGCTGCTCCCTAGGCCGGAGAGCCCGCCGGACGACCCCGCCAGGGCTCCCTCCACCAGCTCCCGGCACCTTCGGCTCCTCTTCTGCTGGCCTCGCCGCCCTCCGGGGCTCCTGTTTCCTTCCCTCCTTCTCCCTCCTCCCGC